TACATTGTTATGTTTCAAGTAGAGCATTATTAATAATCCCAGGTTAAGATGCAGAGCCTGAATGGAATGCACTCTATTTTTCATGAGTTGCCGTGTGTGAGTCTGTTTTTGTACACATGCATGTAAGTTTGTATTTGTAGGGTCAACCCTTTTATCCACGTCTTTCAGGAGAAAGTGTGTAAGTGTTTGTGCGTTCGTGCATCCTCCACAGGGACTATTTCAGTTGAGGGCAAAGAACAGAGAGAAACTTTGAAAGAGCTTTCATGTACTTTTGAGGGAAATGATCCTAAGAAAGGCTTTATATCTTAAAAACTAAAATAAAAAAAACATTTTATTCAGGCTTCCACATTCGGAAGGGCACTTACTCAATTACCAAGCTCCCTTCCTCCCTTTTTACTTCCATCAAGCTCTCCTCTATTCTTAGGCCTGCATCTATGTTGTGTGTGGAGGCATTGCCATGGGCTAAGAGCATTAGCTTAGTAGTAGAGCAATGTAGGGCACGTCAGGGAGTATACAGTGAGTCAGCCATTTGTAACCACTTTTCGGCCATATTGTAAGCCATCGAAAACATCATGCAACCAGAAAAAAGACAACATATTTCATTACTAATCTTGCTAATGTCTTGCTATTTTTGAAGCAAAAGTTTATTTGCCTAATACTTTTTTCTGGATGAGTAATATTTGACTTTTGAAATTGTTCAAAAAGACAAAAAAAACCATTCCATTGATATCACACATGGGCTAAGGTAAAATAGGGCATGTACAGATAAGGCTGATACTGTATGACAAGCTAACTGAATTAGAGGTAAACTCATTCTGTCACCCTCACTTTTGCATCTCAGCTCTCTTTTAACTGCAGCCTTGTCACTCAGTAGCCAGAAAGGCAAGACCTCACACAGGTTTGACAGATAAAAGTCTCTTTACTTCATTGCTGTTTGACATTTTGCCTCCCAGAAAAGTTTCTTTCTCTCCTCCTCCCTTTTCTTTCTCCCTTTCCATCTCACACACACACACACACACACTCCCTCCCCTCAATGTGAGTCCATCTTCTCTCCTCCTGTCCATCTGCCAGGCAAAATGGAACCTCAGACAAAGGAGACAGAGGCTAACTCAGTGATCTGAATCAAATGGCAAAAGGAGGAGGGTAGAAGAGGGGAAGAGGAGTGATGGGTGCCAGGAAGGTGCAAGGGAGACGTGGGAGACGGAGGGGTTGGATGGTGAAGGGAGGCATGAGGGGCTAGATGTGAATTTTGTCTGACAGTTTGAAGTCTCCTCTGAGCTGACCCTCTCCCTGCTGGGAGCCATGTCTCCCGTATGTGGGTGTTGTGAGGCAGGATGGAGAAAAGGAGATATGAGAAGGAGCAATGAACTGTGATCATGGAAATACTACACTGAATGTACCGGCCGTGATCAATAGTAAGCATGCAGTATATCCATTTTAGCAACACCAAAGCACTCTCTCTCTTTCCAGCAGGAATTTGTCAGTATTACATTTTCAGAGTCAGGTTAATACTGCCATCACTCAGTGTCGTGTAGCATTATTGGACACAGTGTTAAAAGCCGTCACTTGAAGTATGGTGACACAGAAGACACATCTGCTGTCTTAGACATTTTAAAATTTCATGTACTGAAAAAAAAAGTATTGATTTGAAAGTAGTAACACTCCGGCAGTGCAGACTGGACAAACACGGTGACAAGTGACTTCCAGGGACTCCAGGGTTGAGAGAGAAAAACAAGATATAGAGGCCAGATCTTTCTTTTTTTATGTCTGGGGAGGATGCCCGAATGTCTAAAAGAGTACAAGAGATTGTTAAACGAATGTGTGACAGTCAGATGGTTGGAGACATAGAGCTGATTATAGATGTTGAGTGAGGCAAAGAGGAGTATAGACCGTATAGATGTTGATGCCTGACAATCAACCAGTCAATCAATCAATCAAGACAAAAGTTATTTAACTTAATATTTTTCAGAAATGCAAAAAGATATTCAGGTTTCATTCGCAAATCTGAGGATTTTTCGGCTATTCCCGATTTAATATCATAAAAAACTAAATATATTTTTAACTCACTTCCACATTAAACAGGACTTGCATTGATGAAAGAACGTACTGAGTGAAGTATCACGAGATGCCACTATAGCCATGCAACCAGGTCCTTTCTACAAGTTGTCGTTCCTAACCTGTCAGACGTTTGCTAGGGGAGCAGTTTAACACAGTATCCCAGTACAGTATTAAATACAAAATATTGAAACCGAAAGAATGGAAATGGCCTGCGGATGATTGAAATACAATACATGCATTTCATGTCACGTTCAGGGGCTATACAAAAACTTTCTAAAGGCCAGCGGGCTGCATTTTGAGAATCCATGAAATATACTATAATTATTTTTTAGCAAGAATGTCGAAAAAATTAATTAAAAAGTCATAGTATATTGCATGTCGAAAAAAGTCATAAAAAAGTCATAGTGTAGCACGTCGAAAAGTCATTAAAAATTCATAGTATAGCATGTCGAAACGTCATTCAAAATTCATAGTATAAAATGTTGAAAAATTATCATAAAAAGTCCTTGTAAAGTATGCCATAAAAAAGTCATAGATTTAAAGTTTTGTTACAGAATGTAAAAAAACATTCAATATTATTTCATTGTACATTATTTCACAGCATAGTATGTAATCAAAATGTCATGGTATATAGTATGTCATGAACATTTTACAGTACAGTATCTCATAAAATAGACATTAAAAAATTGAAGTTCGTCATAGAATGTGTTAGTATGGTATGCTATTAAACTGATTTAATACCAAAGTATGTCATGAAATGTCTCAAAACATTAACGTATAGTATATCACAGAATGTCATAACAAGTGATATTATAGTATATCATAAAAATGTTATAGTACAGTACTTCAGATAAGATGTCATAGAATTGTTATTAAAAGCCATTTTATACTATGTCATAAACATGTCATAGGATAGTATGACATTAACATATAAAAGAGTCATGTTGTATTACCTCATGAACGTGATGTGTGCTGCATTGTAGTAGATGGTCAGCTTATTTGACACACTTTAATACAGAGCTACTCACGGCACACACACCTGCAGCACATTAGACAAGACAATTCTCTCACAGGCAAATGTATCAAACACCCATTTACCCTAAACACACACATGCGTACATTTATCAAACTCATGTTCAAGTAGAATGTTTAGCTTCAATATGATTTCTCCTCAGACAGAATTAGCTCAGATGAGGAGGGAATTGTTACTGTCTGCTTTCTCTCATCTCCATAATGTTTGCGTATTATCAAGTAGCTTGAAATGCAAAATTAAACATAATTATGTTGTACTCCTGCTGACAACTGATCTGTCACCAGGCACATTAGGAACGCGTCTATTTATAGTGTGAAAAAAAACGTGTGGGGAGAGAAAAGAGAACTTGTGTGGACCTGGCTCATCTCTCAGACTCTGACAAGGCGACTTACCTGGAGGTTGTATAAATAAACAAACAGGATCAAATAAACACATAAGTACTACCTGCCACATACACACAACTGTAGCTCATTAGCCGAACACACATTCCGTATCTCAGTCCTAGTTCTACCTTCCCAACCAAGACAGATCTCTCACCTTCACTAGAGAGCACAAATATAGCGGACCAGAAAGATATAGCACGGGGGGGGGTATAATCTTTCTAAATCACCTGAAAAGTCAAGAAGATAAAAAAGCCATCCTTCTCCATGGATGCAATGCTGGTGCCTTGTAAGGAACGAGGTTGGCCTCTTTCAGCGTCTTTACTTGCAGCCAAGTACAAATTAACCTCCCAAGATCAACACTAAACCTAATTAGAGTTGTGTTCTGCAGCACACATCTCTAAACACAGATCACAGCTTGTTGAGAGATGAATCTCCATCTGTCTGTCTGCAAACAGGGAGGAGGAGAGACTCAGAGGAGTCCCGAGAGTCGCAAAATGAAGCTTTGTGGATGTGTGTGTGTGTGTGTGTGTGTGTGTGTGTGTGTGTGTGTGTGTGTGTGTGTGTGCAGGAAGAAAGTGAGGGAGGCCCTTGTGGCCACAGGGTTAGTTCCCCATGTCAGCCTTTATTTCATGATGTCATGCTGCAGCAAAGAAGCGGGACAAGGCACATGCAGGGAGAACACGGCATTGGATTTGAGCAAGTTTGGGGGAGGGGGGGAAGGGTGTAACACTAAGGTGCTTGGACAGGAACAGCTCTGCCCTGCCATTTGACACTCACTCCTGGGACTCAGGCAGCCAGACAGAGAGGAACACATTGGTGTGCAAACAGGAAACAGGAGAGTCAATTCACCTCACATATTGAAGCACACTCACATACACAGTGTGTCCAATTTTCCCACATTTGCAAAACTAAAATAAAATAAGGTTTCACATGTTATTATTGATTATTAAGTCAGATTGCCTATAACAGAATCAGGCACAATGCATGTTTGCAAGAGATGAAATCCCCGGAAAATGTTTGCCTGTTTTTTTGCATAAAATCCGTCAGTATCAAATGATGAACAAATTATTGAATCTTTATGGTTTCTCTCCTTATCCTTTAACATGTGCAGAGGAAATGTGTAGTGACAAGGGAGATTTAAGGTTCGAAAAATGATTAAAAAGGGCAATTTTTCTGGATATGTATTTTCTGACTCTGTAGTAATTTCCGTAAAACTGCCGTTGGACATGACAGCATTATCACTTTGCCTTTGACACTGTGCAAGATAAAGCAGTGGGGGCACCAAGGTCCAAATATGTAGCTTTTATGGGCAGGAGCTGTCCGATTCATCATGCACTTAGAGCTCGCTGTAATCCCTGTCCATAAATCAGCATGGGGCAGGTATCTTCTGCCCTGCCACAAAGTAAACTCAGGATAAAATGTTACACCAGATCATTTGAAAAAATAAAAAAAGATGGAGACTTAAAAGTAAATTCAATACTTCTGACATGTGAATAAGTAAATAAACGCAAGACAAAAAGACAGAGAATCTTTCAGAAATCAGTTTATATAACAAAGTGGTTATTATTTAGTATCACATGCCGTTACATATTCTATGGTAGGACAATGTGCATAACCATTTTGTTTTTTTTCATGGTCTTAAGGATACAAATAAACTTAAAATGTTACAAATATAAATGTTTCTCAAGACAATAAAACATACTCAATGACAACTAGGAGGGTAGGCAGGGATATGGCAGCTTACACATCATGGTTGGAAAGGGTTTGTCCACAGTTATGAGCAGTGTTTTGTTGATTCAGCCACAATACGTCTTCCACAAATCAACAGTAAGCACTCACAGTGTCGGAAAGAACTGGATATGTGGCAGCTGCAACTATTTACCAAAAGAGATACTTTGCAAATATTTCACTCTGTTAGTAGCAATGTTGTATTCAAACATCTCAAACAACTTTTCCTCTGTCTGAGCAGAACATCTTGTGAGGTAAAGTGCACTGACTGTAAGTTAGACTGCAAACTTTTGTCTTTATTAAATCACTTGCCACCAATCACCACCGAAATGGCTTCGTTTACAGTTTTTTGATAAATCTTTCCTGCCCCTGCCTCCTCATTCTTACAAATACCATGAGAACAAGGCATAACACCAGTTCAGATTTGTTAGTCACAAGCTAAAATACAATGGGATGATCGGCCTGTTTAAAGGCCTGCTTTTTTACACTAAAATGATGGAATAAATTCAGGTTCTTTGACATGAAACACTCCTGCTAATTTCTATACAAACACAGAATTCTTACTGATTACCCTAAAAGATGAAATGGAGGACGGTGGGGGGGGGGTACAACAATCACTTACAAGGGTTATGACAGTGTTGTCATTGTAGAAGTTTCTTGTATAATCTTAAGTTTCCTCAACTATAGCTGCTTTTATTGAGGACCATGATTTGAACTTGTATGTTTTTAGCCACTGCTTTCCAGTCATTTGTTCTATTGAATGGCAACACACTTAAAGTTTAATGATGCACTTTTCCTATTCAGTTTTGTGTTGCATCTGAACTTCTACAATCAATAACACCTTCGCTTTCAGCTCGTTATCTTCTACAATGGCATCATCACAAGAGATTTTTTTTAAATTACAAATAAAATCTAAAATATTTTGAGTGTTTTGTTCTAGAAAAGAAATACCACATGTCTATCATTTTATTACATCAAAATGTCCTACTTTGAATTGCAGATCCATATTGGATCGATGTTTATTAAACAATGGTTTCAGTGAAATAACAATTCATTTTTTTTATTCCTGTACAATCTTTCCAAGACTTAAAAAAACAATATCTGTACCTCCCTTTAATATACAAAACAAAATAAAAAAAAAAAACAGGAATTTCCCGTCATTGTACAGTGAGAACTGTGTACCCACCCACCCCCAAAACGTTGGCACATGTGAAAAAAAATCTAATTTGATTTAATAATCAAGAAAACGCTTTCAGTCAAATTGTAAAACACAAACTACTGGTTGTTTTGGCATGTATGGTATCCAATCACAAGGTGAAAAAAACACCAAACATCACAGAAGACATTGGTGTTGAGGGAGAACTGATATTCACTCAACTGTACAAGTGTGGCGGTGTCGTGACTACAAAAAGGAAATCAGTCCCTTTCATGGCACATAGCCCACCCTTAAAACTCCTATCCACACACAATCCCTTCGGCGGAAACCTCGTTCTCTATGCTTTCTCTGTGCAACTGCTCCAACCTTATATTCGCAGGAGAATTATTGTCTTCTTAAAAATGCAGACTTCTCGGAGCATTGTGGATGCACTTTGAGCCGAGATGATGTGTAAAATTGCATTTTTAGAAGCATGCAAGGCTGGGAGACGAGGCATCGTGAAACAGACACATCACAAGCAGCACTGGCAGATTATTTAACTGAAAAATCTCCATCTATTCAGCCAAGGAGTCAAGCACACTGAATCCTATTTTGCCCGCGTTCCTGTCAGATTACTGAGCTGGCATGGCGCGCACACACACACACTTGCCACGAACACAAACACCCAGAGACACAAAGCCTAAAGCAGAGTTATGGTATTATTAAAGTAACTCGGGTTTGGGAAAAAGGGTCACTTATGCTATTAGTGCTGGGGAATTGGAGGGCGTGGGAGACTCACTTGCCAAGACAAGCATCATCTTGTCTTCTTTGCCCCCGAGTCGAATATTCTGGTCGTGCCCACTGTCCATGTGGACTCAGTGGTTGTTTTTAGTAGCATCTGCTTACAGTTTAGGGCGGTGATGGGACAGGGTCGCTCTAGGCATGAATATATGAATAAATAGTTCACGTGAAGAAACTGTGTGACACCGGGTTCTTACAGAGGAACAAAGCTTACAAGTTTCAACTATTTTGAACACAAACAACAAGCACCAGGTGTTAAAGCTTCATCAGTATGAATAAATGATGTCGTGTGGTTCATTTAAGCCTAATAACATTCTGTATTTTGATCTACAACATTTTCCCATTGAAATCTCAGCTGTGATTTTGTAAGCTGCTTAGCCCTGATATTATTCAGCATTATTTATTATATAGTCTCTTCAACATGGTACAATATGTAATCTTGTTCAACAAAATGTGTTTATTTGACACATTATCTGCAGTGATTTTTATTTTTTTTTAAAAATGTATTTATTTTTTGGAAAACGGAATAAAATGTAAAATCTTGGAATTCTAAATGGAGCGAACTTTTCACCATCGGTCTCCAAACAGATGACATATTTTGAAATTATTTTCAGAGCATTCATATATATATATGAAATAGATTCATATTAAAAATGTTATACAAGTGCACAACGAATCTCCCCCCACTGAAAACCTGTGTGACTGCAGGAAAAGTCAAAGGGTCGTGTTAGCTCCTCTTGGCAGTTATATGCATTTAGAAATGTGTCAGTCTCTCTTGTTAACAGCAAAAGCGACCTTGGGACAGAGATCAGCACCTGGAGGCATTGGTCAGATATTACTCAACTAAAAATAAAATGCATCCTGTCAAAATTGAGATTACAGTTTCAAGATCCATGAGTCACATGCGCTGAAATATCGGCGCAGGCGGGCCAGCTCTCTCATATGTGGAATATGTATTGAGTAATTATTCATATGGACTCCTTGTACATGTGCTAGTAGAATTGTCTTGATGTTGGTTGAAGGAGGAATTGACAGAAAAAAAAAAACATTGAAACAATTACTCCCTCTTCTGTGTAGAGTTCAGAATCTTGTTGAAGAAAACTTCAGCACACCACGTGTGTGAAATGTTTTTCAGGACGATAAGCCTACACTATGGTGCAGTCCTTCTTGGCAGAATATTTATTTTCAAAACACTTGATGTTTCATGTCAAATCTGTATGTGAACTGTAATATTTTGTTTAAAAAAAAAAAGGATTAGAAGAAGTTTAGACTTCAAATGGATTTCCAAGCACAGCAAACCTTTCATTAAAAACAGCAGCAGCCCTAAAAATATGTTGTTTTGTTTTTATAAATCAAAACCATGTAGCGAGAACATGAACATTTAGAGTGAAAGTGTTGAATAAATATGTAAGGCATCAGATGAACAGCATGAAGATAAAATGTCTGTGTATGATGTACTGTAGATGCTTGCGTTCTATGTGGATTCTTTAGGTATTTTTTGTTCCATAGTTGTGTGTACGTGTCGGTGCGCGCTACAGTGACGGGTGCTCTGTCCCTCCTTCAGATATCGTCCAGGTCTCCACCTCGCAGGCCTCTTTGGCACTTATCTAGCGTCTTGTGGTAGGCGTGGGCGATCACCGAGCTTGATGATTTGCGTTGTGGCGTGAACGAGACCTTTCCAGGACTGCGCGGCGGTTGTCTGTAAAAAAAAAAGAAAAAGAAAAAAAAGAACCAACAGAGAATCAGAAACAGACAGTGAGACTGAAAAAAAAACAAATCCATACTGTCAAGCAGGAGCTCAACTAAATGAAAGACTGTATGAAGAAAACCAAAGGAGGCAGAGAAGAACGATGGAGGGGGAGATGAGATAATCCGGGCAGTTTGAAAGCAGAGCAGCAGGTGAGTAACAGAAGAAGCTGATGGAGTTGAGGTGCTTGTGTGTGGTGTCACAGTAACTCCATTCAGCTCCTGATGCACTCAAGAGCCCCTCAACTCCACTCAGAAGCAGCATATGCACAGAAGGAGCACACAAGGACCGCGAGACTTGTTTGTGTCATGCACCTGTGCTTGTTGAGTGGCAGTGAGGGATTCTCTGCCGTGTTTGCGGTCAGGAGGAACTTTGGGTTTTCTCAGTTGCCAGTTCGATGACACAGTCATACAAATAATGCTTCCCATGCTATCCAACCATGTCTGCCCAGAAATGCCCATGGTATCCGCTGGGCAGCCAGGTGGCAGGTCGGGCTGGACAGAACCAGGAAGCATAGCCATGGAGATGACTGCAGGCACACCCACTCAGGACTGCCTGGTGTTTCCAAGCGTGCCACCACTAGTATGCCCATTACTCAGTGCCAGCTGTAGGGTGCCAGGCGTCCCGGGCTGGGCGTTGTTTAATGGCTTTCGCTCTATCCATCATGTCAGGTAATGAGCTGAGAGTGACTGTGATGGCTAGGAACACATACGCAAACATTTGCGCACACACACACAGACTCCCGCCATCACAGTGTAGAACAGAAAGCACTCCTTCAGATTAGATACAAAGCATCATGCAGATGGTGCACAGGGGGGAGAGAGGGAGGAAGAGGGAAGGATGGAACACAAAGAGCAAGAGGAAGACAGATAGAGATGGTTAAAAAAAACAGATGGACGGTTCTGTATTATCTGCTTCTGTTAGTTTGACATATGCTATTATACAGGTGATTGTTAAAGCCAACATGTTCTGGCAGTGTGTCCAAAAACATCATCACTACTTATCCATGCACTCATTTTTACATTCACAGGTTGTGCTTCAGTCTCAAAACAAACGTTCATAGTACACAAAAAAGAACAAGAACAGAATTGAAAAGAAAAAAGGTAGATCACACAGAATCCATCCCGGCCAATCATTTGCAAGCCCAATTGCTGCGACCTCATTTCTGGGCCAACAGTCCCCATAACCATCAGTCTATCAGAGGAGCATGAACACAGCTGGGAGAATACAGACGCTCTGTTTCTAATGATGTTAAGCTACGTCTTACTGTAAATAGGATGAAAGAAAATACTTTACAAATAAAAAGACCATAAATGAATTGGGAGACAAGTAAAATCATATAAAAAGTGGAACAATCCACAAACAGATCTATACATAATATAACTACTGGGGTTTGAATACAGGCTGCACTACTATTTTCCCAGTCAAGCATAGCAAGATATACACACATTACATACAGAATACCCACCATTAAATCACCCTTTCAAAACTGTTTTTCATTTTTATTGAACTGTCTGTGGTTTGTGGCAAGTGATTTTTTTTTACAATAAACCATAAGCAGGCTGAGTCTTGCCACCAGCTCTCTGCAACAATACAGCACACTCCTAGTTAAGTCTGGTGTTGATTCAAAAGTAGAGGTGTATTGATACGTGTATGAGAAGTGTGCAGCTATCAAGAGCATCCAGTTGTTGTTGTTCATTTGAAGAGGCAGAAATGTGTGTGCTGTGTATACTGAAAGCAATGCAGAGCATTAGTGTGTCCACTTGTGGAAACCCTACAAACATGTAAAGCAGGCCGCTTGTTGTGCAACAACAAATGAAAAGTGCCCTGTCGGGGGTTGCCTAAATACATGGGAAAGCTTTTGACAAAAACTTCACAAAACGGGAGAAAAACCTCCAGCAAAATGCATCTCCCATCACAGGATCCTCGAACGGAGAGCTATTGGCTTCTCATAAAGACTTTTTTGTTTCTATCTTCAGGTGCATAAAAACCCTTCTTTTCCAACATCAATCTATCACAACAATTGAACAAACAGCAGCCATTTCTACTGGGGGGGAAACATTACTACGAGCCTCTACTGGATTGAACACTTCAAGCACACATACAAACACATATACAGACAGCGAGGGGAACAAAGTGAGACTGGGGGATAGGAGGAGAGATCCACACAGAAGACAAACTCTACGGTTATTCGCAGCACTGATTGCAACTCTTTCTCCTCGCATTGGTTTTGATGGCGTCTTTACCTAATTCTCCCAGCAGCACCAGCTTTCCAAGTTACAGTTGGCGCGACACAGAGGAGCGCACGCAAGCGGGAGAAGAAATTGACAAAAGAAGAGCAGGTATTCCATGTTACAGCAGGGAGATGTTGGCATACCAGAAGTTAATTAAATGCTGGCACCGTTTCATATAAATGTTACTAAATGCACTGAGGACGTCAACGAGGGTGGGCAGATGGAGGGGGAAGTCACTGACACACACACACACACACACACACACACACACACACACACATACACACTATCGCTCTCTCTATCACATACACGCACACACACAAAATAAAATACAGTTCTGCTCGAATATTTAAGTGGTACACAGAAAAAAAGGCCCAATGCATGGCTTTGAGGAACTCTCTCTCACACACACAAGCAAGCATATCCTCGCATGTATATCATGATGATCTCTGCCACGAGGGAGAGGCTCTGAATAAGACAAGGGTAATAGGAGGAGGAGAGGATGCCAAGATTACTAAACAGCTAAAGCAGAGGCCTTAAGCCGGCGCAGTTAACGCTAACCCCCTCCTGACTGTTTAGAGGGCCTCCAGTGAGATGTCATGTCGTGTTACGATAGAGCCGCAGCTTCCCTAGTGGATTCCCCAAAAGAGATTAAATATCATAATGACTTTTGTGTTACTGTCATCTTTGGCTAATTACGCGGAATTACATCATGATAAGGCTCTATGATCCGCAAAAGAAGGAAAAGCTGCCAGTCATCTATCAAACGCTTTCAGCATGGGATACTTTGAGGAATTGCCTCTCAGTGGCCAGAATAAACAGGAAGACTTTTGGAGGGATTATGCTACGTTAGTTAAATATCATCTGGGTAGCTTCAGATCTTGGGCCAACATCTAAACATGGTACCCACATTCATCAAGGCCACAATAACAAGGTCAGGCTCACATAATCACCCATCATGTGTGTACATAGCTGCAGAAGGCAAACAGGATGCATCATAAGGCATGACTGGAGCTCCATCTATTTTAGAATTAACTTTGCAAATAATGTATTCACTGTATTTTGTGCTAAACAAGTGAGCAACGACATGGATTTTCTGCCTTTGTCTAATTCACTCTCAGAGTCTCTCTGCACTTCATATTTCTGACAACATAAAACATAATAAAGGTGAGTAAATCTCTGCTTTCTGCGCATCAACATGTTGCGTTTGCTTCTCTGTCGAAGGGGAAAGTGTCTGCAGCATTAGCAACAGCCGCGACCGTCTATCGCCTCTTTTCATCTTCTGCACCTCCCTTCCGCCTTCCCCTCTGCCAGCCTCCAAGCTACAGAGTAATGGAACTCCCTACACAGAAACAAGATACGGTGTATAAATGGGATGCAGAGGGAGAGAAGCTATTTCTTCCTACTGAAAGTTATGGGCCGGCTATCGCAAAACTACAGTCGTGGCAAACACAGCCCCTCGTTCACCGGTAAGAGTAATCACCCCAGAGAAGGAGGAGGGGAGGCGAAAAATAGTACAACTGAAGAAAAGGTGATTTAAGTCGTGGGGATCGAGCCGGAAAAGAAAAGAGGGGGGGAAGGACGATGAGGATGGTGGGTCAAAGAACAAAGAATGTCAGTGACCCTTTTCTATCTGATGTTACAAGTCACTCGTTGATTTATAACAAGCAGTTGAAATGTATATAAACCAAAGTGGAGGATTAAAGATATTGAAAGTCCAACATGCTTTCTTTCAGCTACTGCACTATATACTGTAGGTTAGGTTTTTTTTTTTTTGGGGGGGGGGGGATATCTAGGTTCTCAAAAAAAAAGCAGATTGATTTGAACCAATTTTCCCTCAGACTTTACACCACCAAGCATCCAAATGTTGTATATTTTCCTGCTGCAAGTAGACACCGTAATTTCTAGTAAATATCTAGTAAATATCTTGTAAATTTCTAGTAAATATCTAGCTTCTGATGACAAAAAACAGAAAATAAAAAAATTTCATTTTTATCAAGAGTTTCTCTAAGTAAGTAAAAAACAAAAGAAGATTTAGAAATGAGAAATTCTGGTTATTATGAAATCAAAATTTGAATAAAATTTGACTCTTTAAAAATGTTTAAAATATACATTGTAATGGGGAAATATTTTAAATATTGCTACTTACAAAAATGTTTTATTGGCATACCTTTGAATTATCAATGCCTTGCAATTCCACTCACAAAAAAGGTGCAGGCATACACACACGACAATTGTCTTTACTTTGACTCACAAAAAGTATAAACACAAAGCTTTTCAGTGTTTCAGCTGATGTGTTCGAATTTGGGGAGAGTTGACTTTTCATCTTATGTTTTATCTAATTTACAATATTGATACCTCTAGTTTCTCTCATTCTGCCTCACCAACATTTTCACTGATCGATTTCCTATAAGTCCTAGAATGACTTTCACAAATTCCCTGGGTAATAAACTCGCTACTTTCAAAGACAACTATACTATGCGCATGGCTATTCTTTGCTAGCCAACCTGTCTCCAAGGATAACTGTATATTACCTGTAGCTAGTGTGTTTTAGTTCCTTATTTTAAGTTGGTATCATCTAAATGAGGGGAATGTACAAATGTCAGGGGATCTGAGAGTGTGGGGGCTGCAATCCAGTGCTTGATGTGTTTTGGTGTGTTTTCTCAGCATGCCATAGCAGGCAGAGGCCATCAGCATGGCATGAGACAGGCCTGGATA